CTAGGCCCGAGCTGGTCCAGCTGGAGGCTCGGGGTTCAGAAAAGGAGGGAAGCCTCTGCTCCCTCGCCCCCCCACCGCCTGCTCCCCCGGCAAGGCCACAGAAGCCAAGGCCCCCAGCCCCACTCGTCCCACAGCCTGCCAAGGGCGGCTCCGGCGGCCTCTCCAGCTGTCCGGGGCCACGCGGTGAGCAGGGCCCGAGGGCTGTGGAAGGCCTCCAGCTCTGCTCATTATCGGAATTTAATCTGGATTCCGAGAGATCAAGAGGACTTGGTGGAAAGTGGCTGCCACAAGGGGAGAGATGCTGAGGCTAACCCAAAGCCAGCTAATCCCCGGCACCCCAGAGCCTTCCTGGAGCTCAGGCATGAGGCTCGCCAGAGAGCCAGATGTCCCAGCTCCACACAGCTGGGCGGCTGGCAGCAGCAAGGGCCCAGACCCCTCAGCAGAGGGAGCAGGCTGGCCGCACAGCAGGGTAGTGGGGACAGGGTCTGGGATCCTCTGCGGATCGGCCTGAAGAAGATGCATGTCCCCTCCACCGCCCCCCGCCCCGAGTTGGGGAAATGCAAACAAGGGCCCCACTGCCAGAAAAGTTTAGGCCTTCATCCCCACCGGAGACTGCAACACAAAGACATTCAGCAGAGATGGGGGAAAGCACTGCTGCAGCCAAAACCTGGAGCCCCCCCACCCCCATTTTCCTTAGAAGGTTTCTGCATTCCCTGTGATGATGGTGATCACGGTGAAGAAGATGGTGGGGGGAGGGTGATGGTGGTGATGGTGACAGTGGTGGTGATGGTAGTGTTGGTGTGGTGATGGTGAAGATGAAGATGATGGTGAATGTGGTGATGGTGATGGAGGTGGTGACTATGGTGGTGGTGGTGGTGGTGGCCGTGACTATGGTGGTGGTGGTGGTGACAGTGGTGACACTAGTAACAGTGAACCGTTACTGAACACTTACTATGTTCTAAGTAAGCATGTTAACCCATTTTATCCTCACCACAGCCCTGGGAGGTAGATGCAGTTATTATCCCTTTGTACAGAGGAGGAAACTGAGGCTCCAAGGGTCACGTGGTGTCAGGATTTGAATCCATGCTCTTAATAGCCAGGCTATCCCACCTGGGGAATTTATACATCTGAATCATTTTGCTTCTGGACTAAAAAACAAAACAACCCACCCAGAAAAAGAACATAAATAATTTTTAAAAATTGTTTGACCTTTTAATTTCTGGAGAACAAAGGCCTTGCCTCTTTCTTTCGGGTATAAAAAGGAAATTCAGAAATCTAAAGACAGCAGCCCCTTCCTCGCCCCCTGCTCCCTGCCTCTTTTATATGTGGCTCCTGCCATGTTATCTCCTCTGCCTGAACATGAGCTGGAGGGTTGGGGCGTGGGTCCGGTTACTTCCGCTGGTGCACAGCACATGGCAGGTACTCAAACATTTGCCAACAATGGACCTGGTCTCCCAGCAAGCCAAATGCCCCCAGAGTCAGGAACCCAAAGCAAGGCTCACAGCCCCAGAGATGGCCTGTGGCCAAGCTGCTCCCTGGGGACATCCTATTAATTATGCCCACCTTGGCCACCTGCCAGGAGCTGCCGACAGCCGCCCCGCCCATCCTTCTCCCAACCACAGTGACTCAGGCCTTCTCCCTCCCAAGAGCCTCCGGATCCACCCCATGGAACTAAGACAGGGGGCAGCAACCTTAAACCATGATGAGACAGGTGCCCACGATGCCAGCAGGTTGACACAGGCAGAAAGACGAGCAGCTGATGGCAGCCCAGTGGGGAAGCCAAGGCTTGAGTTTCATTAAGCAAGGACTCAGTAGCTCACCGCATCTGGGCACCATCATGTCCCGCTGTCCTCCCTATGACCCGTGCTTGTCCCCACCTTAGGACCACGGCCTTTGCAGTTCCCCTGACACTCTCCCTGTTCTAGCCCACGCCCCATTGCCAGATCCTTCTGGTCACTCAAACATCCCCAGCTCAACAAGGCCATCGATGACCAATCGCTTTATGAGGCCAGCTGGTCTCCTGGCTTCCTGCCCATCTTCTTCACCCCCTGTTCTGGGTTGGATCGTATCCCCTAAAAAGACAGGCTCAAGTCCCACCCCTGATACCTGTAAATGTGACCTGATTTGGAAAGAAGGTCTTTGCAGATTAACTGAACGGGTGAAGGAAGATGAGGTCTTCCAATGCAAGGGAGAAGTTCATGTGAAAGTGCAGGGCCACGAGGCAAGAGCAGAGAATGGACCCATGTGGCCGGAAGCCAAGAGCACCGATAACGGATGGCCGCCCCCGGGAGCTGCAAGAGGCAGGAAGGACCCCCACCCCCCACCCCTCAAAGCTTTCAGAGGCAGCACTGCCCTGCCAACACCTGGACTTCAGACTCCTGGCCTCCAGGACCAGGGGAGGGCACAGCTCTATTGTTTTCAGCCACACACCTCGTGGCACTTGGTTAGGGCAGCCCCAGAAAGTGAGATCACTCCTCAGCCACCGTCTTAGATGAGGCCCCCCCTTCATGACCCGCGCTTGCTCCTCCCCACAGCCCAGTTCCCCAGCCAGCGCTGGCACGTGGGTGCTCAGGGTGGTGAGGTACACACATCGCCAGGATCGCGCGTCTCTCCCCTGATGCAGTGGCCTCTGTCCCCCACAGAGGAGGTCCCGTGCCTGTCCCGCCAGGCTGGCCTGACTCAGTCTCTGGTGTTGTCCCCAGCGCAGGGACCCCTCACGAGAAGTGGCGGCAGCCCAGCCAACCCCAGCGACCAGTGGCCAGTCAGGGCAAACACATTCCTGCGTGGGAACTTGGAGAGGGCCGTGCAGGTGACACCAGCCAACCCTGCAGCTCTGTTCCGCCAAACCCACAGACCCACTCGGAGCAGCCACATTCCTGAGGCTAAGCCTCTTGATGGAGACTTCTGAGGCAGGTGTGGGAGCCTGCCAGGGGGGTGGGGAGCCAGCAGGGCTCGGGGTGTGCACAGCGGGCCAATGGAGTGCTATTGACGGATTGCCTCTGGGCACCTGCCTCGCCTCCAATGAATCAGCCTTCAGGAGAAAAGTCAAACATATGTTTTTGTTCAGGATTCCGGGGGGATCTATCAGAGCACAGAGCCAACATGTGTCACACCCCAAGAAGGAACTCGATGCTTCTTCCTACCATTGGGTCTGGGGGCCAAGGCACAGATGCCAGGGTGCACTGGGGCATCCGAGTGCCTACGGTAAGATTCGGAGGTGACTGCCACGACCCTGTGTCACTCCCGGCCCCCGACACCACACCCTCCTTCCCGGTACCCTCTCCTCCAGGAGGGTCTGCTGCTCCCCCCTCTCTGTAGGGGGAGTAGGGCAGCGCATTCGAGTGGCGGCTCTGAAATGCAAACCCAGCTGGTGCTAAGATACCATTTGTTGCCCATCAGACTGACAAAGACCAAAACAGTTTGATAAGAGAGGATGTCGTGAGCACGCGGGGCATCGGCCTCTCTTAGGTTATGGGTATAAACGGACCTAACCTCCAAGCACAGCCGTTCAGCGAAATCCATCAGTGGCCAACACGTGCACCCTCTGTCCCCACGATTCCATTTCCAGCGCTGTATGTGACAGACACGCAGCAGTGTGACGTAATGACAAAACCAACGGGCCGCCGCCTGCAACACAGAGACACGGGGGACCCACCGGGCACACGCGGGGAACTGGCTGCGGCCCGCCTCTCGGGGAATGCGTGGCAGCTCAAGGACAAAGGATGTTCTCTGTGAACCAACACGGGGTCGCCCAGGCTCACTGTCAAGTGCTCACAGCAAGATGCAGGAGGGAGGATGTGACGAGATGCCACCTGCAAAACTACACACGCGCACAGACGTTCGCCGATTTGAGGAACCCCGAGGACTGGGGTGGGGGGAGGCTGCAGGGGATGGGGCTCGGAGCCCAGAGCCCGTCTTATGCAACAATATCTTGTAAAACACATAGTTCCTGTAGGACTTTCTCAAGTCCTAATTCGGCCGCTTTCTCTCTGGACGGTGGTGACAGGCGGATGACACACCTGTGCTTTGAGCTCTTAACTCTCCCGCGTCACAGATGAGTGCCACCCCCCAGGGCTACTGGGAATACGAAAGCAGCTCACAGCTGCAAACGCTCAGAAAGTGGGGCTTGGTGGTCTTAGTATTTAAGACCACCCCTGACACGGTGGCACTCGTGAAGGAGGTGGTGACCGCTCCTCTGTCCCCAGGGCGGGAACGGGTCCCCATCCCGGCTGCCAATGCGAGGACTGTCCCTCAGGAGGCGCCCACAGCACCTCCTGGCCATGAGTTATGGAGCAATGGCATCGGGCGATGACACGAGCCGCCCCTGGGCAGCACCGCCGGGAACACAGCCGCGTCTGGAATGCACGATGCTCGCTCGATGCTCCAGCCCATCCAGCTGGGGGGTCAGCTCCCCTGGCCTCTCGGGAGACCTCGACACTAAAGGGTCTCAAGACAGTAAAGTCTTTCAACACAGGATCTGGGTTCCTGGCCTTATGCTTCTTAGAAAGCCGAGTTCGTTCTCTCTCTCTCTCTCTCTCTCTCTCTCTCTCCCCCGGGGTTGGGAGTTTTAATCCCATTTTATCACCAATGGCCGCCTTCACTGGTTGCCTGACATCATGTTTGGAAGCGAGCAATTGGTAAGAGGCAGACCCTCCACCAAGAAATGTTTCTTCCTCTTCCCTCTCCCCATCTCCCCATGGCCCTGAACACACGCAGACTCAGACCCCCCATAAATACCCACACAGGCTCGCCTGGCTGGCTGTCCCCTTTTCTAACTCAGTTTCCTGATGGGGAGAGTCTTAAGAAATAGTGACCTATGCCATCAACGTTCTTGAACACATAGGTTCGGTGTAGGGCCTGGCCCGTGGTCGGTGACCATGACAGAAGCAGCCCTGACCGCCCCTGCCCAGCCCAGCCCCGTCCTCTGGCCATCGGCCCCTTCCTCCTCTGCAGCCGAGGGCAGCTCAGCATGCCTCCCAGGCACCCGGCACGGTACCCACCTGCCCAAGTGCTCCTGCAGCACCTGGTAAACGCTGATCCGGAACGTCTCGTTGTCGAAGCGCTCCCGAATGTAGTCCTTATAGATCCGGAATTCGGCTGCGGTCACAGCTTCCCCCTCTGGGATCTTGGAGAGATCGAACCGGAACTCCCGGTGGTGGTAACGTGGATAGAAGAACTCTTTGTCATGCTCCACTAGAAAGGGGAAGAAGACACAGCGACACCAGGAGCTCATTAGTAACTGCCTTTTAGGGCCCTGGCTCAGAGTCAAGCCCACGGCCACAGGTCCCTAGTGCAAGCTGCCCCTTTCCTTGCTGCCCCCACTGCAGCCTGGACAGTCATGGCCTCAGACCCTGTGGTCACCTTGACATCGAGAGGAGTGACTCTGTATCAGCCCACTGGGAAGAGTGGGGCACTGACCAAGCCATCCCGGAGCCCCTAGGCAGACCCGGGTTAGTGGGTGCACAGGCCTGGGTCAAATCCAGGGTCAGCCACCAACTAGCTGAGAGGTAATCTCCCTGGACCTCCATTTCCTCATCTAAATATGAAGATATTGGGGCACTTGGGTGGCTCAGTCAGCTAAGTGTTAGCCCTCAGCTCAGGTCATGGTCTCCAGGTCCTGGGATCGAGTCCCCATTCAGGGTCCCTGTGCAGTGGGGAGCCTGCTTTTCCCTCTACCTCTGCCTCTCTCCCAGCTCATGCTCTCTCGCTCTCTCTCAAATAAATAAACATCTTTTTAAGAAATAAAAATAAAAATGAGGATAATAATCCTGCATGGGTTATGGGGAGAGCTAAGTAACCTAACTCACATCAGCAGCTTAGCGTCTGGTGGGGCTCGACAACTGGGAGCTATTAGGAGTGTAGACAGACCTCACTCTGCCTATCAGGGGGTCCCCGGGGCCCAATGATGCTCAGCCCTGGCTGCATGTAGGAATCGCCGTGGGGGCTTTAAAAAAGTAGCAACGCCCTGTCCCAGTGGTGAGCTGGTAAATATTTAGTAAGCGGCTCTCTGGGACCTGGTCTGTAGCATTTGCCAATTTCCATCTTGGCAGATTTCAAGCTACTGATGTGAAATCACTGACGATGGAGGTGGGAGTCTACCACGGGGGGGCTCTAGCTCACGGCTGTGCTCACCCCCCCTCTCAACCGACTGACTCAGTACCTTTGGGGAGGGGGCCCAGAGACCTCTACTCCTTAAAGCAGCCCAGATGTTTCTAACAGCCAGCGGGGTTTACAACCACAGCCTTAGACTAAAAGCAGAAAAAGGACTGAATGGCAAGGTTGGGGGATGTGGCTTTTGACAGTGACTTCTGGAAAAAATAAGCCCTTCACCTTTATACTAGCAATGACTAAGAGATTATGCCCATTTCGTCGATAATAAATGTCGAAATGGACATAAGCCCAAAAAGAGTGTTCCTGGGAGGGGGCCTGTGGTTCCCAAGGCTCATGCATCCACTGGTCCAAACTGGAGCCGTCACGTTCCGGAGAGAAGCAGAATGGCCAAGTTCAGGCAGGTGTGTGGCATCTGCAGATACCTTTCTTCTCCTAGGAGACAAAGCCCCATCTCTGCTTCCTGCCTGGGGATGGAGGGAGACCAGAGACACAGGGAAAACAGTGGGAACAGCGTTGCTGGAAGAGAGGAGAAACCCGCTCAGCTTCAGTTCCAGCTTCGGCTCAATGAGCCCTGGAGGCTCTCAGGCCGGGTCAGGGTTGCCAGAGCTGCAAGCAGGACATGAACGTCTTTGAGGAAAAAGGGTTCCCAACACTGGCAGCTCCAAGGCCCCTCCTACAGGCCGTCATTTAAAAAAAAAAAAAAAAAAAGGCTGTTTTAAACCTTAATAATAGTTCCAAAAGATACTGGGATGAGGGCAGTGGTGTTGACAAGTTATCCACTCATCAGGCTGTTCCCTGCTGGGCAGAGAGGGGGCAGGTGAAGTCCTCAAGGCCAGGGGACTCTGGCCGGGCACAGGAGAGACCTTGCCTCTGCAGAGATCTCAGGAGGGTGACCTCTGACCTTCAGCTGCTGGAATCTTAGGGCCCTAGGAATGACCTCTTCAGAAACCGTCCTGTGGTCCCTGCAGACACCACCTGTCCTCCTCACTTGCTCTGTGCTCAACACCCACACAGAGCACTTGCCTTCTGACCCAGTCTAAGAGAAAGGCTGAGCTGGGGACAAAGAATGCTGATAGGGGCGTCACCCATGCCCCCACTTTGATTTATGCAGAAGGCAGGGAGGAAGGCATCTTTGTGACCGTCTCTAGGAAGTGCAGCCCACTGGGGATCAAGCAAGCCTCAGGAGGGGACCTCAGAGTGAGGGGGCACAGCAAACAGCCTTGACTCTGTCACTGTGGAAATGCCTGAAGCCAGTCCTCTGTCATCCTTCTAGCTCATTCAACCTTCGGGTCACCCTAGGAGGGGAACGCAATGCCATTCGTAGGGGATGCACCTGAGACCCGAGAACCCAAGAGGTGTTGAGTGGCCTGCCCAGGGCCAAAGAGCTGGGACTCAAATCCAGGCCCCACCAACCCCTAGCCACTTAGCAACTCAATGGCTGAGCCAACAGCTCTGCAAGAGCAGCTCCTCTGCTTGTTGTCAGAACATTCTCATTGCGTGCGGGACAGCATGCATCCGGTGCGCACACAAACTGCATGCGTGCGGGTCTGCACATCGTCAAAGCGAACCTACCATGGAGCCTCCTCCTGGGTCAAGAACCAGAACATCGCCAGGCCCTCTCATCTCTTCCCCCAACTTCTCAAGCCTCTGGTTTTGCTTGTTTTAGAATATCATAAACAGGAAATAGTACGGCACGTATTCTTTTGCACTTGGCTTCTTTTACTCAACAGTGTTTGTGTGGTTCCTCCGCATTCCTGTGGCTGCTCATCCATCCTTGCTGCTGTCTAATATTCCACACTTGGATTACCCCACAATCCACACGTCCATTATACAGCTGGTGGGCATTCGGGTAGTTTGCATTTGGGGGCTTTCAGAGCAGCACGGCTCTGAGCATTCTGGTACCCGTGTTCCCTGCATCTTGGAGAATGTGGCTAGGCACCCAGAGGTGGCATTGTGTGTGTTCACGTCAGGTCACACTGCCAAGTTCTCCCCACATACCGCCCTGGGGGTTTTTTTTAGAGTGTGCCAGGAGGATCCCAATGGAGAAATACAAGTCTGTCCTATTAAGGAGAGGGGCACAATCTGGGGACCCTCCAAGTGCTTTTCTGAAGTGGACTGGGTGAGGACAGTAAGACAGCAACCCCTGGAGTATGGCCCTGCACCCCAGCGAGCAGCCGGTGTGCACCCATGCAACAGGCCCCACTTGCGCTCCCTCAATAAGTGAGCTTCCCATGAACACCCCAGAGCTGCCCCCCAGCCCCACCACCCTACCCAATCTGAGGTCGCCAAAGACCATCTCATAACCAAATGGAAAGGTTATTTTATGGCCACCATCTTGCCAGACTTCCAGGTAGCAGCATGCAACACTTGGTTCTTCCGGCCTTCGAAAACCTCGTCTTCCTGTGGCTTCCTGTACTGTGTGAACTGCTAGTTTCTCCCCGTTTAAGTCCCACAGAGCAGTGGAGTAACAGGGGAGCATTCCACAGGCCACCCCCCTGATATGGGTGGGGTGCTGATAGATCACACAAATAAAGTCACCATTTCCAACCATCTGCCTCTGCCCTCCCCCAGAGAATGGGGGTGCAGAACCCCCAGTTTACAGCGAAGAGGGCTGAAGAACCCAGAAGTACAAAGAAGCTGGTTCACGGAGCACCTGCTCTCTGTTGGGTCCCGCTCTGGGCACTCTCAGCCATCATCTGGCAGAGCCCGGTGAGGCGGGATTGATCCCCATTTCACAGATGAGGAGCCTGAGGCTCAGGGACGCAGGTGACCTGCCCAAGGTCACACGTTAAGTGAGTGGCTGGGCTCTGCAGCTTACACTCTTGACCTTTACACTTTCTGGAGCCAGGTGCGCTCTTGGTGTGGTCTCGGCCAAGTTGGTTGCCCTCTCATGCCTCCCCTCGCCCCAGGATGATACTGGCCCTTTCTCACCGAGCTGTACAGAGTCGGCCCTTACGGCACTGTACGTTCATGTTTGCCTTTGTCTCGGGGCCTCTCAAACAATGAGGCGGGAGGATGACAAGCAGTGCAGAAACCTCATGCGCCAGTGGGTATTTGCATAGTTGGGCTATGACAACTGTATTTGAAAAATACCACAGTCAGACCAAACAATAAAGAAATGTTTGAATGAGCACGACATTAACACAGGTGCAACCACTGAAGTCACACCCAGTGAGGAAAGAAAACACTGATACATAATCACAGAAATCAATCTGTTCCTGCAGGTGTGTATATGCATAAGATTAAATGTATCTTAACTGTTAGGACAGTTAAGGGATCAGGGTTATGAGGTTTCTTTCGCTACCAGGACCTACGCAGAGAGTGGCCAGCTAAATTTCTCGCAAACCTTTCTGGGCTCTCTGGAACAGGCTTCTTCTGTAGGAATCGCCTTCATTAATTATTTTAAGACAATGAGCAGAAACGAACCGCGTCGGCCTCCTGCTCTTCCTGAAACCACATCATCGCGGGTTCTAAAAATAATTCTGTAATTTATCAAAAGACAGAAGAGTCATTTTTTTAAAAAGAGCAGTTCGTGATCCGAAGCCCAAAGCAAAGTCCCACTCTCACGTCTCCGAGGCTTCCACTCTCTCCAGAAGCCTCTCCACGGCATGGAATCCGCATCGTTTCAAGGTCAGGGGTCAGGACGGTTCAACGGTCACCAGAAAGTAGACAGAAGCAGGTACTTTTAGGGAGAGAACACAGCTTTACGCTTCCTTCATATGCTACCATACTTGATTACCCAAGACTCGGGTTTTTAAATCACTGTCTAGAGCTGATATATCCCTTTGTCCATAAAGAGAAGCTTTCTCAAGGCGATCCAGACCCTAGGAATCCAGCTCTTTCTGCACCGCCCTTAACATTCCAGCACCCCACCGGCTAAGCAAGCTCACAGGCATTAACGAAGACTTTCATCTTCGAAAGATTAAAAGAGCCCAAATCCCTGAGACCAAAAGATAAGTCCCAAGAAAATGGATTCCGGAAAACACCATCCTGACTGACAGCAACCAGCCCCCCAAAGCCCAATTCTAGCGTCCTCTTACAAAAGCCTGGAATAACCCCAAAGCAGGTCCTCGGAGGGGTAA